CTTCACACCACTAATAACTTCCTTGTTTTCTCCACTGAAGAGGCCTCTCCTGATGCGTAATTTTTCTGTCCACCGGAGCACTTGCTGAAAGATGTTTGCAGCCGCTTCCTGTTTCTGTGTAAAGCAGAGGGGGCACCGATTCCCATCACCCACCCGAGCCACTGCCCCTCTAAACATTCCAGTCCTTAGCCTTGCCCTGACGCCTGCTTTCTGGCTGACAGCCATCGCTGTCCTGGGCCTCTTTACTTCATTGCCATCCCCAGCACTAGCATTCGGCGTTATTTTCAGGGCCATTTTTTACATAGCTGCTGTATTTGAGTTTTGTTTTTCTCACTTTGTAAGAATGACCAAATCCGCAGGAATCATAAAACAGCAGAGCCTGCACTGATACACAGGTGAGGAGCCTCCTCCAACGTCTGCCCAAATGCTCAGTGTCTGCTTACCTAGCATCCCTGCCACAAAGGGGACAGATGCAGTTCCAGTGTGTGCCTCTGCAAAATGACACGTTGTGACATGGAAGAGCCTTGTCCAGCTGAAACCCCCGTGGTTCGTCTGCAGATGCAGAGTCTCTGCAGCTCCCAGGCATGACCTTCCCAGTTAGGTAGGAGTTACCCTGTTAGAGGAATTAGAATGCAATAATAAATAAAATACAATATGCTTGATACCAAAACAATATGAGAAGTAACAGGATTCGTCTTGTTCAGGGTTGTGTAGTGTCCAGGTTTAGGTATGCTCGCAGGACTGGGCAGCAGTAGTTAGGGGAGGGGATGCAGAGGTGAGGCGGGGGCAGGGGATGGGCGGGGGAGCTCTGGCCGCCCTCCTTCCCCAGAGCCCAGTATGGCTGTGCGGTGTGCAGGCGGCTCTCTTCCTTCCTGGTCTGGGAACAGGTATGTGTCATGCCACAGCTGAGTGCCACGTAGCCTAGGTATACACTGGCAAAGGCAGAAAGCAAACCTGCCATTTTCTCCTTCTAATTTCAAACTCAATTTCCTTGCAACATTTTTCATATGTTAAGAACCTTTGAACAGCTGGCAGCTCTCAAATAAAATAATGGCAGTGTGGGAAAGCACGTTCGTCAGATGAGCTGGCTGCCTCCTGTTGCGCCTGGCACTCCTGAGTGCTCAGTTTCGGTCCCCAGGCAGGCAAAGGCCATGACCTTTCTTTCCTCAAAGGCAGCGCCACGCAGAGGTTAGAAGCACAGACTGCAGAGGTTTGGTCCTAGTTCTAGTGCTCTCTTGCTGTGCGGCCTCAAGCAAGTTAGTGCCTCCATGTCCTCATCTGTAAAAGAGAGTCCTGAGAGCTGAGCTCAGGGGTTCGTTGTTGGGATTCATTGAGGTCATGCGGAGAGAGTGCGTAGATGCTGCCTGGTTCCCATCACTGCTTATCATTATCCTCAGCAGCAGCCTCATGCAGCCACCCTCAGGGCCTGGTGCTGATCTCTGTGTCTAGCAGATACTCAGTACATATTCTTGAGCACCTTTGACTAGCCCAGAATGGCTCATCTGGGATCCCTTGTAGCTGTCGGGACACTCCCTGTCACATAACCAGCTGTTCCTCAACTCTCATTCTTCTGGACTGCTTTTTCTTCTCTGAATCTGCCACTGGGCAGCTGGGTCTATCAGGTTACCTTCTCGTAAATAAATATAGTCCTCCTCATTTCTGGCTTGTCATCAGCTTCACAGGGTGTGCGACTTAGAACAAGAAATGCAGTTGAGAAATCAGCCTTCATCCTGCTCCAACTGGACAGTCTTCCACCATTTGCAATTGATCGTCTCTGAAGGTGGGATGCAGAAGACAGCTTTGGGCAGATTGCTCCCAGGGCATGGTGCAAGGGTAGATAGAGGTTCCTTCGCTGAGCAGGCAATGGTGATATGCTGGGCCCTCTACTTTGCCTTACACCAGCATTGATCACCTGACAAATCATTAACAATCAAGGGTTCCCATTTGCATCTGAGAAGCTGAGCAAGTACTGGTTCTGGGTGTAATTCGGTGCTTTGGGAACTTTGATTAAAATGTGAAAAAGATGCTTCCCAGTCATAGAGCTGTAAAGACTGTCTGGTATTATACAACAGACAGGACCAGTCATGCCTGCTGCTTTAGCCGTCTCTGAAGGAACGATGAGAGTCGCAGTCAGCCAGGGGCCACGTCTCCCTGTGTCGCTGAAGTTGCAGTTCTGTCACATGTAGGGTAGATTCATCCTGAGTCGAATGATTGCTTGTTGCTTTTAAGGAGGACGTTCAAGTTCCCCTAGTGCGGTGGCCTTTCTGCATTGCTCTTCATATGATTTTTATGTAAGGGAATTACTGGCTCACTGTTTTTCTCAGAAAACCAGATGGCTGCACTGACATGTTCACCGGAGACTTCTGAGATTCGTGCCAAGCTTATTAGCATTTCCAGTCTCATGGAAAAACTAAGAAGACTAGGAAACTAGAATGCGTGTGTTCCTTCCCTGAGAAGCGGGCTTCTGCTCTGAAGAGCTGTGCAGGCCATGTGCGGCTTTTATTGATCCATCATTCCCTGGGTGGCTGTGGCTCAGCTTCCTTCAGCCCCACTCCCTATGGCTCACCCCATCACCACTGCAGATTTTCCTGTCTGCTTTAAATTGTGGACTGAAACCATGTATCCCCTAGTGAAATACAGTTCCAGCTCAGAGAGGCTTCATCACAGCACTGACATGAAAAGACAAACAGAAATCTGACTTGCTGGGTTATCCATCCAATAAAGAAACCACCCAAGGGTAGAGGAGTAGATATTCATCACTTCCCAGCAACTCAGCCAAGCCTGTGAGTTTAAGTGCAATATTTCTAGGTGGATTTAGAAAACCCTTTCCCTGGCAAAGCAAAGAGTTCTCCTGACAGCTCATTTTACCAGTGGGCCAGCCTGTCTGGGTTAGAACAAAGGGAATTCTGCCCGTCTGATTTGGGCCAGATAGCAGTTTTCTGTTTCCCCAGTGATTTGTGTACTATTGTGGAAATTTGAATACTTTTCCATAAGTTAAGCAGAACTTCCTCTTCGAGTTACCTGGCTCTGCCTTTATCTGTAGTCAAGCTTGGGCTGCCGAGGTGGCCTCTGCCCTGGTTTAGCATGAGCAGAATAATAGCACTAGCTTGAAAAGAGGTTCAAGAGATGATTACAGGATTATTCAGTAGGCTTGTCACCAGAGAATTTATCTGTTACAAAGAACATGTAGGATTTTTTATTATTATTATGGAATTTCTACTGTGCCTGTGTATGTATTCCAGCAGCTACAATAGCTACACTTGGAGAGCCCTTTTGTTAGAATATCTTGCTTCTTCCCAGTATCTCCTTTTTTCCAGAATGTTCTTTTGGTTAATGAAAGGTCTCTGAAAGGAGTAGGGGTGTGAGCCTTAGGTGCAGTGTGAACTGAAAAGGAGTATTTCAAGAAAAGTGTGGTTTGATTTGAATTTCCATAGGTAAGGAAGATCTACTACTTAACATGTATATCCTCTGAATTTGGAAATTTCAGCTTTCCCTTCCTGAGCAGCACAAGTTTTTATTTTTCTTATTGAAATGGTGGGGGTGGGCAGGGTGCTGTGGCTCACACCTATAATCCCAGCACTTTGGGAGGCAGAGGTGGGTGGATTACTTGAGGTCAGGAGTTCGAGACCAGCCTGGCCAACATGGTGAAACCCCGTCTCTACTCAAAAATACAAACAAAGTTAGCAGGGTGTGGTGGCACGCACCTATAGTCCCAGCTACACGGGAGGCTGAGGCAGAAGAATCGCCTGAACCCAGGAGGCAGAGATTGCAGTAAGCCAAGATCGCGCCACTGCACTCCAGCCTGAGAGACAGAATGAGACTCCATCTCAAAATAAATAAATAAATAAAAAAGAAATAGTGGGGGCGGACTTTGCTAAATTTCTTGATTATGCCAAAACTATCTGAGCTGGCAGCGAGCTGTAGTACAGGACGTGGTAAGTGCCTCAGGGCTGGTCCTGTGCATAATTGTGGATGTTGCAGTATTTAAAGGTGAACATGGTATGATAAGAATGAGTGCTCGTGTGTGATTTCCAACACACATACATGCTGATGGGAGAAACCAGTTCCACTGCTGATATTAGGCTGGTGCAAAAGTAATTGCGGTTCTTGCCATAGGAATGGCAAAACTGCAATTACTTTTGCACCAACCTAATTCTGAGCAGCTGCCACGATCCAGCGTGGACTTAGCTGTAGCCATAGTGTGAACAAGAAGAGCCCGGCCCTGACTCATGGGCTGACAGTCCAGAGGAGAAGAAACAGTACAGTCTTGATGAAAGAAGTCTCCAGCTGATTTGTTTTCCCAGAACACAGTGAGAGGCAGGGTCTGTTTTACCTGGCTCAACTCAGAAGTTTCGGAGGCTACTGCCCTTCCACCTGCTGTTAAGCGGCCTAAGTAAGTCACAAGTGCTCATGTTCTACCTCCTTTTGAAAACATTTCAGAACCATCCCTGTCTACTTGTTGTCATTACGTGAGGTTCAGTACAGTTATGATCCACTTTTGATTTTTCAGAGGTAGAATATTCTGTTTGTTCTTTCTTGATTTGCTTTGTTTTTCTTTACCCTCTTTTCTAGCAATTACTAGGACTTCAGCAGAGGACAGGCCTGGAAAGAGAAAGAGGCGTTAAACTCAGGCCAGACATTTTAGGCCCAGTTTACAGCTCAGGGCTGGTGGTTGTAGGTTGCACACGGCAGACACGGAGAAAGCAAGTGAGTGTTGGGGATATGGAATTTCACCATCCTCTGGTCTGCAAAGTCAGGGCTCTCTAAAATGTGTTTATTCTTTTGAGAAAATGTTATGTAAAGGCACAGTGACAGTAGTAGAATAGCTTTCATTAGCTAAAAGTGATCAGAATTTTCTGGTGACATCTCAGGGTTTAGCAAAGAAAAAGCGGCTGTCTCAGAGGAGGCAAAGGGTGACAGTTTCAGATTTGCCTTCAGAATGCTGATCTTTCATTTTTGGAGAGGCTTTATATAATTGTTTTTTTTTTTTTTTTTAACAGAACGAAGTCGGCCTACTGGAGTTCTTCCAAAATGTGATAAAAGAAACTAGGGCAGAGCCAAAAAAGGTGACGAGTTGGGTCCTCAACATTTTTCTGGGCTATTTAAAGCAAGAGAACCTCGCTGTCAGTGAGAGGTGAGTGAGGTCTGGGATTAATTTCTTCCTTTGTGATGAGGTCTGTCCAGAAGCGCTGGAAATAGGGCAGGTCCAGTTTTTGGCCCTCCCTGTTCTCCCTCAGGTTATCCCGACATGACACAAACATCCCCTGTGGATTCCACATTCTAAATATGTTCTCTAGCCTGTGTAAAAATGTATTTATTTCTTCAAATCTGTGGCTGTGCACTATGTTTTTTGCACTGGGTCAGAGGCTGGGGGCACGACGATGAATGAGACAGACATTCACAAACTGCGGAGGATGTAGGTCTGTAAGGAAACAGCCACCTCAGGGTGCTGCTGTTGTGCCAGAGGCACAAAAAGGGGAGCTGAACGGACGCTGGGGAGCCAACCAGGGCTCCCCTCTGGAGGGGATGCTTAAGCCACGCCCTGAAGCACTAGGGAGAGTCACTGTCCCTGTGAGAGGGACTGGCTGCACAGACAAAGTGGAGCAGTGCCTAGCTCAGAGACCAGCAGGCAGGGCAGCCTCAGGAAAGCCAGAAGCTGCAGGAGTCTGAGTCAGGCAGGCAGGAATGGTGGGGACAGAGCTGCAGAGATGACCAAGGGCCACCTGGAGGACTGCGTCTGCCCTTATCCCGAGCTCTTGAAAGCTGTGGACTGCAAGTTCATGCCAGTTTCACACTGAGGAAATGGAGTGCGTCTCAGTCAGCTCAGGCCACTGTAACAGAATTCCAGCCTGGGTGGCTTAAGCCACATGTCTTTCCCATGGCTCTGGAGGTGGGCAAGATCCAAGATCCAGGTGCCAGCCGATGCAGTCCTGGGTGAAGCCCTCTGCCTGGCTCACAGATGTCCTCACGTGGCATGCAGGAGTTGCGGGGTGAAACAGGAAGGAGGGAGGGAGAGAAGGCCCTCTGGTCTCTTCTTACAGGAGCACATTCCCACCATAGGGACCACACCCTCATGACCTCTTCTAGACCTCATTACTCCTCGAGGGCCCCATCCCCTAAAACCATCACAGTTCAGTATAGGAATTTGGGGTGGGACACAAATATTCAGTGTCAGAGAGCAGACTAGAAGCAGGAATTCCATTTGGGGACCTCTTGCAGGAATGCGGATGAGAAATGCCGCAGGCCTGAGCCAAGGTGGCAGTGGCTAGACTGAAGTGAGGAGGCCAAGTTGAGAGCAGTTATCTCAATTGGCACAACTTCCAGATTTCTTATTTGGGTAGAGGTGAAACAGAGGGCAGACTTCTTCAGTGTAGGAGGAGCTAAAGGAAGAGGAAGAAACTTAACAGGCCAGGGGTGAGGGAAGATGCCATAATCCATCTCAGATGTGCTGACTTTGAGCTGCCTGCAGGACAGACATCCCCTCACGGGGCTAACCAGTAGACAAGATCTTTGGGTCTGCAGCTGATGAGATCTTGGGGAGGTTTGCAGTTGAGAGTTCTCGTTGGTTCATTATTCAGCTCATGTTCACTTAGCCTCTGCTGTGTGCTAAACTCTGTGCCCAGCATGAGAAGCACAGTCCCTGGGACAGACACTGGCCCTGAATCAAAGGACAGGCAGCCTTGAAGCTGGTGGCTACAGTACAGTGACGGGGGGGTGGGGGGTGCTCTGGAGGGAAAGAAGGCGGCAGCTAAGCTAAGACCTGAGGAAAGGATGAGCAGGCACAGGCCAAGGCTGACGGGGAAAAGTGTTCCAGGCGTGGGGAACAGCACATGGAAAAATCTGAGGTGAGTCTGGGCTGCAGGGACACGGCACAGCGTAAGTGAAACTTGGGCTTAGCAGCGTCTGTCCTTGAAGCCACTGGACAGATGAGAACTTTCAGGGAGTGCATCTTGCTAGGATGGCTGGGGAAGGAACCTGAGGCTCTCTAGCCTTTAACTGGGAAGCATGGGCAGAGAAGAAGGAAACGGAGGCGCGACAGCACAGAAGTAGAAGGAAAATGAGGAAACCAGGGTGGATACTGGTGACACAAAGCAAGGGAAAGGCAGGTTTGAAAAAGGAAAGAATGGGCAGCAGGTGTCACTGTGGGGCATTAGGAAGACAGTTCCCTGGAGGCACATAGACAGACAGGTGGCAGGGCCTGGCAAGGTCCCAGGGGCAGGGAGACCCAGGCCAGGTGGGTGTGTCATTGTCTCCGCAGCATCCTGGGGAATGAAGACAGACAGACATTGACAAATAACTCCCAACAGTTGTTTGATCAAAGAAATTAACTCTAGACGGTGTCAACCCCATGTTCAGCCGCTGGCTGTGAATGCACACATCCGTGTGTTAGTGTGGCCAGGGCGTTAGTTCCCTTCCTGAATCGGCTGCTCACCAGAAGTGACCTTGAATGAGATTTGCCTCTGACCCTCAGTTTCCTCACAGCAAAGTGAAAATGGCAGGACTTGCCTCAGAGAGCTTTTGAGGGGAAAATTCACAGTGCCTGGCACATCGTGGGCCTCGGTATTAGCTACCTTCTTTTTTCCAGGGTGGTGCACTAAATACCAAAGCACCTGCCACCCTCATCTGCTGAACTCTGTGGCATCTGCTGCCTCTTGGTCTTTTTTTTTTTGAGACAGAATTTCACTCTGTCATCCAGGCTAGAGTACAGTGGTGCCATCTCTGCTCACTGCAGTCACCTCCCAGATTCAAGCAATTCTCGAGTCTCAGCTTCCTGAGTAGCTGGGATTACAGACACCCGCCACCATGCCTGGCTAGTAGAGACGGGGTTTCACCATGTTGGCCAGGCTGGTCTCAAACTCCTGACCTCAAGTGATTCACCCTCCTCAGACTCCCAAAGTGCTGGAATTACAGGCGTGAGTCACTGCACCCAGCCTGCCTCTTGGTCTTTCACCCCTGTCTTCTCAGGCTTGGCCTCTCCATTCAGAAATTCTGCTGTGTATGCTGGAAATTCTATAATCCCAGCACTTTAGGAGGCCGAGGCGGGTGGATCACTTGAGGTCAGGAGTTCGAGACCAGCCTGGGTGACATGGTGTCCGTTCTGTGGAGGCAGGAGCTGTGTGGAAGGCTTTATGGATGGGATACAGCTCTACAGAGCCTTCAAGGTTGGATAGGATTTCACAAGGGAGAGGGCAGTGCCTACCCAGAGCCCAGGTGCAGGAACGGCAAAGAACTGGCATGATTGGTGTAGCTGGCAGGAGCAGAGGGTGGAAAGTGGCCAAGTGGTGTGGCTGTGTGCAGAGCCGGAGCTGAGCCAGAATAAAGAGCCTCTGGAATGTTCCTGGGATTCAGCCCTGAACCCAGCAGGTCCAGAGCCCCACTCTGTGGTGTGTAGGGGATGAACAGAACCTGGTCCTGACTCTACAAGTGCTGTCAGTCTCCTGGGGAGGACTAGAACTTGAGCATCAGAATTTTAATTGGAGACAGAATGGGATGCTTCCAGTGTTGGAACTAGACACAGTGCAGTGGGAACAGAGAGGAGGGAGATTCACATTAGCCAGAAGATTCCAAGAAAGCTCCAAGAAGATGAGGTGTTTGTGCTTCTGGAGGACCTAGAAATATTTTAGCTTTAAACTTACCATTTTTCTATGTTGTTGGTTAAAATGTATGGAACTGCTGAGTTTTAGTCTTGGAAGAGACCTTAGGGATCTTCCGATCTTTCATTTAGCAGACGAGGAAACGGAGGCCCTAGGAGATAAGGTGACTTGCCTCAGATGGCACAGCTGCAAAGACTGGAAGCCAAGTTCCTGGACTTGTGGTTGGCTTCTTTATATGTTGGTCTGTGGCATTAGGGATTTAACAGCCATTTTGCTGGCCTCTAAAGGAGTTGAGGGATAAATTAGCCTGTTCAGTGGACTTGGAGCCACTGGTATTTACCCAAGCAGTTCATAAGCACTGGAGTTTTCTTTTCTTTTCTTTTTGAGAAGGAGCCTGTCACCACCAGGCTGGAATGCAGTGGCACGATCTCAGCTCACTGCAACCTCTGCCTCCTGGGTTCAAGCGATCCTCCTGCCTCAGCCTCCCGATAGCTGGGACTACAGGTGCGCACCACCACGTCCAGCTAATTTTTGTATTTTTAATAGAGACAGGGTTTCACCATGTTAGCCAGGATGGTCTCGATCTCTTGACCTTGTGATCCACCCGCCTCGGCCTCCCAAAGTGCTGGGATCACAGGCATGAACCACCGCACCTGACCAGCACTAGAGTTTTAAGAACCTGAAGGGAGGCCGGGTGCGGTGGCTCAAGCCTGTAATCCCAGCACTTTGGGAGGCCGAGGCGGGTGGATCACGACGAGGTCAAGAGATCGAGACCATCCTGGTCAACATGGTGAAACCCCGCCTCTACTAAAAATACAAAAAACTAGCTGGGCATGGTGGCACGTGCCTGTAATCCCAGCTACTCGGGAGGCTGAGGCAGGAGAATTGCCTGAGCCCAGGAGGCGGAGGTTGCGGTGAGCCGAGATCGCGCCATTGCACTCCAGCCTGGGTAACAAGAGCGAAACTCCGTCCCCCCCCAAAAAAAAAGAGCCTGAAGGGTACCCAATTCGAAATAAAAGTAGGCTTGGTTGTTCCAAAATCAAGTAAAGAGGAAGCAGGCAACAAGGAAGCAAGCAACAGTTCTGTTTTACAGTTTAAATGGATCAAGGACTGAGAAGCCAAAACCAAACCATAGCAGCTCTTTTCCTACTCAGTTCAAAGAACATTTAGCTGCACTGATATACCAGCCTACCCATAGAGCAAACATGAATTAATGAACAGCCTCAGCTGCTAGGGCTAAAAAAAAAGCTTAGAAGGGCAGTAGCTGCAAAACCAACTAGTCTCATAGTGACACCCAGGCAAGGCACATTCTAGAGATCAAATTGGTAGAGAATGATTTTGTGAATTAGCATTCATTTTTAAATACCTCTCAGAAGACTGATGTTTGAAGGGTCCAACCTCTTGGTGAACTTGGCTTTTCAATTGAGTATTTTGCTTTGAAAGGTTGGTTTATTTGGTTAACAACTTCTGAATTACGAGTAACAGGTTTGGTTCAGTTAAGAAAGTGGACATTGTAGATTTCCTGACCAAGTATGTCATGGTAAAATTAGGCAGGTGCAGCTATCCAGTTGTCCAAGCCACTTGAGTGCCCCAGTGTTTCTGGTGAGCAGGCAATAGTCCCTAAGCACTGAAGCAGGGAAGGCTTTTAAACCAAGAAGGGACTGGCGGCGAGAGGAAGATGTATCCCACGGCGTGCAGTGTAAGATAGCATCCGAGGATGGGCTGCAGGCATTGAAACCTGTTGGAGCTCACCGTGGCCAGAGCCACAGCAAGTCAGAAGTGGTGGTGTCAGGAATGCAGAGTGAAGGACGACTGTAATTCATGTTTGGAGGGATCACTGGGATCTGGTAAGAAGGTACTAGATTTTTCAGGGAGTAGGTGATGAACAAAGCAAAGACAGCGTGGTAGTCTGCACCCTGGTAACTACAAGCATGGTGCTGTCATCAGTTGAGACAGAAGAAGGGTAGTGGGAAACGGCAGAGGAGCTGGTCTGTGAGGAAGACAAGTTTGGCTTAGGATAAGGATTGGGAAACCATAGTATAGTTTCTGTATAGCCTGTGACTATAGTTCTGTATAGCTTGTGACTAAGAATTGCTTTCACCTTTGTTAAAATAAAGAAGCATATGTGACAGAGAGCACTCACCAAGCCTCAAATAAGCACTCTCTAGCTCTTCCTAGAAGTTTGCGGTCCTGGTTTAGAGCACATTGTCTGGCTGTGAATGGGGCCTCGCAGGAGGAGGTTGAAGTCAGCAGGGGAGGGAAATGGGGCCTGAGGCAGCAGTGCAGCCCTGGGCTGTGTGTGCGTCCACCCCTCAGCTGGGGTCAAAGCAGAGGACCGAGGAAGAGGGCACCAGACTCACCTGGCAAGAATAGGCAAGGAGCAGCAGAGGGACAGGCAAGGAAGAGGAGGAGATTCCAGAGGCCCAAGAAGGGTGTTTCACAAGGAGCTTTCGGTGCAGCCCCAGGAGTCAGGGCATAGTGGGATGGGGAGAAGCTGAATATTTGGTCACAAGCGAAGGGGGTGATTTTTAAGAGAAGAGCTTCTGTAGAGGGCTAGGCACAGAATCCAGATGGCATGTGCTTACACAGGGCGGGCAGTAGCCACTGGTATTAGATCATAATTGTTGTGACCGCAAGGTCAGCCGAAGGCATTTTCAAGGTAGGGAGATTGGAGCATTTGTGAAGCCGTGAGATTCAAGCCACAGGACAAGGGAAATTAGCATCTTTGGTTCGGAGGAGCGGACAGTGGGTGGTGGGGTTCTGAGCAGGGGTGGAAGGGTTGTTTGATGGAAGAGGAGGAGGAGAATGCCCTGGAAGATTCTCAACCATGGCTCAGCTGATGTCCTTGTGAAATCAGAAGTGAGGGCATGTGCAGAGGAGGGGAGTGGGAAGGGGGCAGCCTGGAACAGCCACTTGGTGGGGCACCACTAGGTGTGCAGCGAAATCCATGAGATGAACACAGAATCCTCGTGTGCAGCAAGTGCCCCCTGGAGGCCCAAGTCCCAGTGTCTTCCTTCTTCTTGCATCCATTTTAGCAGCTGTGGAGAAGGTGCACTTTGGGCCTGAAATAAGCTTGGGGATTGAGACAGGCAGCACAGGGGTAGGAGGTGGTTGTAGAAGCATCAGGGTGTCTGCTCTCCTCATCCAAGCTGGAGATGGAGCTGTGATCCTGAATGAGCTCTGAGGGACTGGACAAATTTTGGAGCTTTGAAAGCACCCCTTTCCCCTCCTCAGTCAATCCGTTGGCCTCAGAATGGGAAAGAAGAGAGCAGCACACAGAGCCGAAGGTCGCAGAGTCAGTTTCTTCTTTAGCAGAGACGTATTTACTGTCCGGAAACCAATATTATCTGACAGCAGTAAATTAGTAGCCTGTGCTGCTGCTGCCATTGTGTGTCCAGTCTGAGGTTTATTTATTGAGCTGATGAGTGGGGTCTTTCAGGGTCTGTGTGACAGGTACTGATCTTTGTCATTGTCTGACTCAAGTTTAGCCCTGGCATATGTGGAATTACCATGTGCAGCCTGCCAGACATCCCTGTGGGTGTGAGGAAGCCTGTGACACAAATATGATGACCTACTGTGTGACAGGCATTGTGGAGACATAAAGGTGATGGAGAAATTCCAAGTGTGATTATGTCAGTGGAGAGATTTTATAGTCTAAATTTATTACCCAACTGATGAATTGAGTTCCTTACATGAATTTCTCAAAGACAACGTATTTTTAGTTATTTTGTGTTCCTTAAAGTTCTGTTGCTCTCCACCCTATCTTTTATATGATAGTTGCAGTCTGAATGTTTGGATCCTCCCTCAAATTCCTGTGTTGAAATCCTGACCCCTAAGGTAATGGTATGAGGAAATGGAACCTTTGGTGGGTGAGTAGGTCATCAGGGAGGAGCCTTCATGAATGGAATTAGCTTCCTCATTAAAGAAACTTCTAAGTGCTTCCACCACGTGAGGACACAGCAAGAAGATGCCACTATTGAGAAAGTGGACCCTAACTAGACATGGAATCTGCCGGCACCTTCATCTTGCACTTCCCAGTCTCCAGAGCAGAAATAAGGTTTCTATGGTTTATAAGCCACGTCTCCTTTGGTACTAACCTGTTAGAGTAGCCCAGACAGATGAAGATAATCAACTCATGTGAGGCTGAGGACCTTATCTTTCACACACTCAAGAAATCCAGTTCCACCTCAGTGCTTATTGTGGGTTCTACACAGAGTCTGCGTTCTAAGATAATTGGCCATTGTATTTTCTAGGATTGAAGAACATCAAGCAAACCACGCTTTTAGAAAAACCCTCCTTCCTTTTACTTGTCAGTAAAGGTAGGAGGTTGAAAAGGGATATTAGTGTGTTTAGCAGCCCTCTGCTCCTCTTCCTTTTGAGGTTTAATCAGGGTGGTTCACAGATGTTCTGAATACCAATTTAGCAACACCAGATAGTCTCCAAACCTAATTTTCACTTGGAATTGCCTTTTAGCCATACTTTGGGATAAACAGACACTTAAAGGATGGTAAGCTGCCTCCGTACATCAGCTATTTTATGTGGACAGCCCTGATAGGGTTTCACTGGACTGGAATGAGAGTACAGTAAGTCATACCTGGTTAATGTGCACTCCACTGATTTGGAGTCCTGGAAATCAGCATAGGGATGAATAAGCTGTAGTTTCCTTTTCATGTTCTAAGCACACCAAAGAAATTAATTGTGATTGATGGGAACCAAAACTTAAACAAAGGATGTTTTCCAGTGATATGAAGCATTTCAGAAGCCTTCATTTACACAGGCACACAATGTGCTATTTATTTCATTCTGACCTTTTTAAAACTAGTCCCCAAATGACCTCAGATGTACAGCATTTCATTAGCCTAGTTGCTGTATATATAGGTTGAGTATCCCTAACATGGAAATCCAAAATGCTTCAATATCCAAGACTTTTTGAGCATTGACGATGATGTGCAAAGGAAATGCTCATTGGAGCATTTCAGATTTTAGACTTTTGGATTAGGAATGCTAAACTGGTAAGTATAATGCAAATATTCTAAAATTCAAAAATATCCAAAATTGGAAATACCTCTGGTCCCAAGTATTTTAGATTAGGTATACTCAACCTGTATTTAGAAGTCACAAAACCATATGTTTTAAAAGAAATAGTTTGTAATTCACTGTTGTCTTTTCCATAATTTAGGCACTCACCCCTACTATTAATTTACCTTAAAGTGAATTAATGACACTTTACTGTTTCACAGTGTATGGTTGCCCCTGACCTTTTATATCATGGAATATTGGCAAATAAGTCACATCCTAGAAACATAGGTATGGTGGATTCTAGGCCCTTCTGTGTCCACAAAGCTGTTGTGAGCCTGCAGAAGAGAAGAGGGTATGTATCAGGTTCCCAAGGATGGATGAAGATGAGGCTGTTAGTCATTGTGTTTCCTTGCAGAAAACTGCTTACAATTAAAAGGCATTTATATTTGCACAGAAACACTCAGAAAAGTGACTCTCTTAGCTGGGTTTTTTTTTTGTTTGTTTGTTTGTTTTGTTTTTTGGGGGGGCTGATCTTTCAGTTGAAAATATTTAATTACTTGAGTTTATTTTCCCTTTCCTGTTGTGGTTCATGAATTTTGCAGTCACCTCCTTTTCTTGACTAATTACACTGAGCAGTCGTCTGTTGCTACAACTTCTGCCAAACAGCTGTTATTGTTGAGTGGTAAAAGAAAGAACACTAGTCACAAAAATTGATTATATCCTAAGATATAAAATAAATAAAATAAAAGAGAGCTCAGTTGGCCTGCTGTTATCATCCCTGGCCATGGGTCTGATTATTTACACCCATGAAATCAAGTGTTCTGATTCTGAACAGCCATTCATGGATGCCCTGACAGTATGCAATGTAAATGTGTTTTCTCTTTTGGGGGCCACCAGTCCTGTCACACCCTCTGTGCTCGCTGAGCTTCTTGACCTGTTGGACAGCAGAACAATTTCTTCATCAGCAGCTAAACAGGTATGTCCATACTCCCTACGGCTTCTGACTGCGCCACTGTCCAGAGAAATGTTTTCTGTGACACCCCAGTGCCATCACTGAGTGACTTTCATCATGAAAGTAGTAAATGCTTTCAGTGATTTTTTTTTTTTTTTGCTCTGTTGCCAGGCTGGAGTGCAGTGGTGTGATCGCGGCTCACTGCAACCTCCACCTCCCAGGTTCAAGCAATCAGCCTCTCGAGTAGCTGAGACTACAGGCATGCACCACCATGCCTGGCTAATTTTTGTATTTTTAGTAGAGATGGGGTTTCACCATGTTGGTCAGGATGGTCTCAATCTCGTGATCTCGTGATGCTTGGCCTCCCAAAGTTCTGGGATTACAGGCATGAGCTACCTCGCCCAGCCATAGTGATGTTTTTAATGCTGAAAGGTAGAAACATTTAGCAAGGATATGAAGCCAATATGTGCAGTGCAGCCAGTTTGGTTCTCATCATCATTGCTAACCTGAGGGAATAGTTATTGTCTGGTCCTGCCCTGAACTTCTCCCCCTAACATGTCTTCCCTGGGCCTTTTACACCTGAGCACTTTGCCTCATGCCCAAGGCAGCCTCAGCTCAGCTCTCAGCCTACCTGGGGCTCCTGTCTTGTCCTCCACAGCCTCCCAGCCAGTCCCAGGGCCTCCCTTGTCCCTGCTGCACAGTTGCTCTTGGAGAGTCTGTCCTCGGCACTGAGGGTGAAGTCAGACAGTAGATAAAATGTTACAGACATGCCCAGCTTGTGAAAACTCAGAAAAATAGCATCATCCTAAGCAGCTTTTGTCTGTCTGTACCTTGACCTAACAGTGTTGGGTGGGTGAAGGACTCCTGGAATTCAGAAAATTCTTAAAAATACATACTCTGAAAGATAAGGAACACCAAGGCAGCTTCCTCATTTCAGCTTCAGAGATCGCAGCTGTCAGTGCTTCAGCTAGGAGTTTAATGTTATTTTAATGGTGTCTTTTGCATGTAACGTTTATCTGTACTGACAGTAGTGGCAGGTTACAAAGGGAGGCTGAGGGAAAGTGGCTGCTTTTGGCTAATGATGAGACACCATGGCGCACACACTGGGCTGGGTGCTGTGGAACCGGAGACGGGACTAATAAAGTCTCTGTTCACCCACCTCGAGTGAGGCTGTCAACTACAGGGACCTTGCCGCGTTTAGGAAAGGCTCTCGCTTGTCTGGATGTCAGGGGAATACAAATGTTTATTACAGTGCTCAGCAGTTGCAGGAAGATTAGATGACCTGAGGGCAGAAAAAAACACTATACATATATCTATATCTATCTATCTATCTATCTATCTATCTATATATATATATATATATATACATACAGAAGAGCACATGAATTACAGCATGTGAAATGAAAGAAGGAAAAAACCTTCCCCTTCCTCCTACCCATCCTGCCCCACAACAAAACAAAACAAAAAACCTAGTGCTGTGAATAAGATAGTTCCAGTAGGAAGAAATGGAAAATGTTGGAAGATGCTGACAGCTGGGTTCAGATGTAGAGACGCTTTCAGATTTTATCAGCTTCCAGCATGTTGAAAGGAGGTGGCTTCTGTGAGGCAGTCAGATTAAAATACAAGCCTGGCTAGAAGGGCATCTAGTGTGTGCTGCGGAAGGGGAGCCCCCTTAGGTGTCAGTGCCTTGGGGGTTTTTGTTTTTCTACCTTTTGTTTTCTGTTTTTTAGGAAATTACTGATTTTCTAGGGGAAAGTAATATATATTGATTATAAAAAATATAAGTAGTACAGAAAAAGATTCTCAGATTCTGCCACCTTGAAATAGCTACCTTTAATATTAGATCAACATAAGGAAGGAACTAGGGGGAGGAGTGAGGAAGAAAGGATAGCAACAAAGACTTTCAAAAACTGAAGTTACAGGGTACTTTTTAAAGTTCATTTCTTATTTTAATTATATAGTGTCCTGAACATTTTATCTGGATATTTTATGTATTTATTCACTTTGTATTATTTATTTTTATTTTATCTGGATGGTTTATGAAAAGTCATCTGTGTTGTGTCACGCATCCATCCTTCACTGCTTTTTAGGGCTAAATGGGGCTGCTCGTCTGCCAAGCCCCTCTACTGTTGTATGGGCACACCCCATTTTGTCTGTCCATTCATCAGTTGATGGATATTTGAGTTGTTTCCACATTTTGGCCATTAGGAATAATGCAGCCTTGAGCAGTCATGTACAAGTGTTTGAGCACAGGTTGGGTGTATACCTACAGGAATTGAATCTCTGGGTCATAAGGTAATGCTGTGTTTAACATTATGAGGAAGTGCCAGACTATATTCTAAAATGGCTGTACCTTCTTACAGTCTTACCTGCAGTGTGTGAGGGTTCCAGTTTCTCCATGTCGTCACCAGCACTTGTTATTGTTCATCTTTTTGATTCTACAGCCATCCTTGTGGATGTGAAGTTGTATCTCACTGTGGATTTGATTTGCATTTCCATAATCTGTTGAGAATATTTTTGTATCTTATTTTTATAGCGTACTTGTTTTAAAAAGAAAAAATGTGTTGCAGTTATTTTTTTTCCAAATTTAACAGAAGAGTCCAAGCATGGCATGGTTTTTAGAAAGTCGTGACCCAGAACAAAAAGACTCTGATCCTACTGGTTATTGGTATTGCCTCTGGCAGAACTGGAAGAGGCTCCATTAAGTGATTAGATGACCAGGGGATAAGGAAGAAAGGCAACAGAGTGACTAACTCCTAGGGATAACAGACACACAGAAAGAACAACCCTGTTCTGAGAGCAGAATTCTGAATTCCGAAGAGCCTTCCACTTTGTGCTCTGATCAGTTCTTAACCTGCCTTCCTCTGCCTGTCTCTCATCAGCTTCTTTGTGCATTATTTTCAGTCTCTGCATTTCACTGCACCCTCCTCCCAGGTGTCCTGCCAGTGCTTCCGAGATTTACAAATCTCATCCGTTCAGCACCCCAGGGCCAGGGTAGTTAAGAGGTCGCTGCCACGAAGCAGCCCTGTTCTTTAGAATCAGAAATAGAAGCTGGGAAATTATAGATCATTATGAGCAGTTACCTCCTGATAACTGTAGACAAAAGCATCCCGTGTGCCCCTCACAAGACCCAGGCTGTGTACTGAAGTGGCAGGTGGCACCCCGTCTCCTCCCCTCACTAAAGACAGGGTCAGCTTGGACACCTCAGACCTGCAAACTGTCAGAGTCACAGCTAACCTGAAAACAGCCCCCCAGGATTCTCAAGCCTCTTGTGACTCAGAAGCTCTGGATGTTGTCCAGACGCTGGTCAGTCATGGTTCAAGGGAAATGGTATGGGGTCCTGTAGTTGCATCTCCTTCATGCACGTGTGGAAATACATGCAAATGATCCACCATACCCTGAATCGTCCAGTTTACATTTCTGGCAGGACCCAGCTAGATTGGGTGCCATAGAGATAGAAATCGCGTTTAACACACAAGCATGCCATAATAAGCGTGCCATCTCTTTGTCTACTTTGGAGTCTGCTTTAAAGAGAAATCACCAAAAACCTTTTAATGAACAAAATGTTATCTATCATGCACTAAAGGTGTATTACAAATGACTAGGTGCCTTTTTCTGTCTTTTAGTGCTTCAGTTATCTGCAGTTTGCTGGGCCCCACTTTCTTGAGGGCTTAGGTTGATGTTTATGCCTTTCTAGAAAAGTAACCTTTCACAATACTTGCCTTTGACTGAAAAGGGGACTCCCTTTTCTGTAACTGTCACAGCTCCCTCCCTGCCATGTCCCTTGAACAGGTCTTTCCTCTATATCCTGACCTTGGAAACCCAGGACAGGCAGGGAGACACTAGGGGCCTGTGTGCTGTCCTTCAGGAAACTTCAATAGCTTTAGCTGGAGAAACAGTTGGGTGGCAGATAAGAGGGTGTGTAAATTCAGTCCTCAGGGAACCAAAGGCCAAGTCAGTGCCCCATGCATCAGAGCTGGCTCCAGTGTCTGTGTGTGATGGGGGTTCCCAGCTTGCATTACCCAGTACTTCTGGTCGGCCATTTATTAACACAGAGGACCAGCACTGTGCTAGAAATTCCTCATTCCATCTGTTTGTCTTGGGTCGGCAGCAGCAGGGCCTGGGAGCTGCGCTCCTGGCTGGAAACAGTTGCACTTGGATATCACTTCCCAGGGTGTGATTAAACACAGACAAAAGCTGAGGATTTATGCTGCAGCACAGGGCTGGGCAGCCACAGAGGCCACGCTGAGCATCAAAAGGGCCAGGAGTAAGAGTCTGGCCAGGAGACAGGGCCTGCCACCACTACCCCATCGCTCCCACCCTCCTCGGGTCCAGCCAGGAGTGTACAATCCTTGTCTTAAATAGGATTGAGCAGAGGACGGGAGAACTGGCATCCATTTTATCAGCCCAGTGAGCTGGGAACTGGGGGCCTGGACTGTCGCGGCCACTGCACTCATTTGTGGAGTTAACAAACATATGTATTCTAACTCTGGGAGGAAAGAACATGTCAGCCACCGGGCTCCCATATGTTCCAGGAGACTGCTGAATGGTCTTTTTCTAGTGTCACTGCTTGGTACCCCCACCCCGCCTGGCCCTTCTTCTCGGGGAGCAGCCAGCCTCTGTGTTTGAAGGCATCAGCCTCTGCATTTGAAGGCGTCTGTCCTAGTGGTGCGCTGCTTCTCCTGGATGGTGTGACTGGAAGTGATCCCCAAGCACTCTGCCACTCCTCTGCTTATTTTGGCTCAGGCAAATCCAGCCAGCATTCGAGCTGTGGGTCCCGCCAGGCAGAGGCTGGCCCCCTGGCCAGCCTGCTCAGGGTCTGCTCTGTGCTTCCTGCCGCAGCAGCTACCTCAGGCACAGAGAGATCGCTCCCTGGTCAGTGTCTGCAGAAGCAGACCCAGGAGTGGCCCCGCCTGCTTCCAGGCACAGGCTGCTCATCTGCCTGGTTTTCCTGGAGGGAACTGCTGCGTAGATTTTTCATGAGCAAGTCCTTACAGGTGGTTTCTGTTTTGAGCCAGGTTTTGAGATCTCTCTTCCTGAATGTTGGACGTGTTCAGCTAGGAGCTTTTTTTGGAGTCTGTGCAGATGCACAGAATCAACACTAGTCAAAGTCTAGATATATCTACCAGGAGGGGATAAATTATGATAAATACATCTGATGGATAGTAGTTCTTTTTTATTGAAAGTATTTCTGTATTTCTGTAATACTTTAATAAAAATATTAAAGTATTTCTGTAATAAATGAAAAAAAGCAGGACACAAACTGACTATACATTATGATCACACATATGTTACAAAACAGGAAAAAGATGGGAAGGAAAAACCAAAATGTTAACATTGGTTTTCTTGAGGAAATGGGAATGCCGGTGATCTCTTGATCTCTCCTGTATTTCCTTATATTTTCCGCAGTGAATATGTATTAACTTTTATCATTAGAAAATGTTCTTTAAAATGTAAGTCCTAGTTCAAAAAATAACAATGTCAGAGAAAGGGGGCAGACGGATTCCTCAGACTTAGAGGGCAGCTCCATGGAATGCCATCCAGGTTCCCAGTGCTTCTGCTGACAGCACTGCACTGATAAGCATGTTGAGGGCAAGAAGTTTCCTCCTGCTTCTGTGTCCTGCTTCTCCCGATGGCTTCCTCATTGACCATACACATATTCGCTGAATTGAGTTGGATGCATATGTAGGGCCAGGCTTTTCCTGAGCAGTCGGGCAGTGGCAGAGAGGTGCCCTGTGGGGAGCTTAGCCAGGACCTGCAAAGCACACCTCCTTGGCCACAGTCACAGCACACCTTTGGAGGCGCCAGGCTGAAGGCGCAGTGCCTGTCATAGTGATGATAAGTATTTGTGATTTGTTTTGATTCAGACTAGGGAAGATTTAGAGCCCTGCTGAGACTCAGAGAATCTTCCTTTTATTTGCTTTGCTGTTCGCCCTAATTATGGAAGAGTTCTGTTTTTCCAGGAGGAATGGCTCCTGGTTGGCCCATTCTTGGCCGCCAAGGTAACAGGGAATGTTCAGTGTTCAGTCATGACTGTGGGCTGGATGGAGGTGGCACCCACAGGAGACCAACAGAGGAAGCCCTCCTCCCTGCCCCCAGTTCTGGTTTTTGCTACAAGACACGAGGAATGAGAAAAACAGCTACCCTAGGAAATGCCTTCCTTGAAAATGGTTTCCTTTTTCTTGGGTTTGATGAGTTTGGGGATTTGTTATCATTTTTTAAGGAGAAAAATACACCGATCATTAGCGTTCATTATACTAGTCTGATTTGGGTCCAGCTCTACCTGTAGGAGATGAATGTGGTAGGCCAGGGGCCCCTGTGGATTGTAATTTATGTTTTCAGTTGTTTGCCATTTTGTATCTTCATTATGGGGCCACTTTCCTGCCCCCCACAAAGGTCATCTTTCCCAGCAGGCTGTTTCTGGACTTTATTTAGTACCGTGGTTACCTCCTGCAGACTGTGTGGCCCCATCCTTCACCAAAATGTCACCTCAATTAATTAATTCAGCAGCCGTGAGACCAATGCATCACTGGCCCTCTGACTCCCGTTAGCAGGCGCCCGTGAGTGATAGGCATCTCCACACCTCCCATGTGGAGTCAGCCAGGGAGGACTCGCCATCCTTCCGGGCACAGGGGCACCTGGCTGGCCTGAGTCCTCTCACACCCTGTGCTGAGGGAGACAGCCTCAGGAGGAGACCCCGGGTGCATTCATCTAGCTAGCTTCATTCTCCAGCCCTGCACTCAGGGATACCTCAGGAGAGCCAAGGCCCTGGCAGGGCAGGCATGTGCCCTTTCCTTTCAGGCCAGGCTCAAGCAGCAGGGTCTTAATTGAATCTGCCCAGTGCCACCACAGCATGGCAGTGCAATTGGAGCTGCCAGAAGAGCTGACTTCTCACTTCTCTTTCCCCTCCCTTCTCTGGCCTGTAGGTGTTTGAGGAACTGTGGAAGAGGGAAGGGAAGACTCCAGGGCAGATTGTTTCAGAAAAGCAGCTTGAACTGATGCAGGACCGCGGGGCACTGGAGCAGTTCTGCTACTCGGTGATGAAGGACCATCCTCAAGTGGTGACTATCTTGGGCAGGGGAGAGGACCAGGGCTAGGGCCACCTGCAGAGCCAGCCCCAGGACACGGCCAGAGGCTTGTCCTAAGAATGGCTGCCCCAGTTTCATCAATCATTCCCTCATTACTTTTGTCAACTTTTTAGTTGAGGTCAGAAGAGATGAAATAGGTGAATATTGGAAAATCGCAACTTCTTTTCCTATAAGGAGGATACCACCCCTAGAGTTTACTCTCCATGGAGGTGTAGTTTAAAAGGGTGTCCACAAGCTCTCGAAATCCAAGCTGGGACCTCCCAGGCGTGTCACCCTCTCCCAGGGTTGGCATTTCGAATTTGTTGTGGTTAGTGCTACTTCACAAGGACCTCCCAATAAGGAACCAGTGGGTGTGCCTGCAGAGCAGGGAGAGTACAGGAACTTCAGCTTCATGCTTCTAAAAGGTGGGAAGAAAGGCAGAAGGGAAAGTATTTATAAATTGTGGAGAAAATCCCTGACGGGAGCATGGCGAAAAACCAGGTCATTTTGTGTTCTTAGCACAGCACAAGACAGAAAAGCTAAAACGAGTGGCATCCCTCCTTCCCTAAGTCTAGTCATATTGTCTAAAGATATTTTTCAGTGGAGAAAAAAATTGTTAGCATCTTCTTCACAATAATGCCTGGCCACCCACCCACCCATCAGCTTGCTGGGGACACTCACAGCTCTGTAAAGAGCTCTCGATAAGGAAAATGATCCTGCACTAGGCCTCACAGTCTCGTCTTCTGGTCTCATCTGTGGTGACTGATAAAGACACGCTTGTAGTTACAGGCTCGTTCTGTGGCACTTGAGTGCAAATCGTCACGTCATTGCCCTTGGAGCCAGCACAGAGCAGGAGGCCAAGCAGTGGCCCTGTCAGTCAGTGGCTATTTGATTGATAGGAATTCAGCGCCTCCTGACTTACTCACTCCCCAACCCAGTGCTCTGGAAGACTGGCCAGTGTGTAGATCTGCTTTCTGACAAAGGGATCTCCTTGGTGGGGGGCAGGGGGAGAAAGAAAGCTGCACATTTCAGCTGAATGTTAACAGAAAATCAGAGAGGTGTCTCACTGATTAGACACAGTGATTCATCTCAGAGAGATTATCCCTCCCCAGACTCTGTCCTCAGTCATAGTGGTATCCCAGAGGAGAGGGCCCTGGCTCCCACGTGCCAGCTTTTCTGGCTGTGAGCAATCACTTCTTGCTCATTTTAATCGGAAGGCAGAGTAGCAAATACCTCCTTTGACAGGAGCCTAGAAACCTACTCAGAAGTTAGGCCCCTCCCCTTTTTCTGTTCCTCATTTTATCTCTAATACTAGTGGAAAGAAGCAGAATTTAATTTTCAGCAAACAGAAGCCTTAGTTTGGGATTTTGGGGCATTAGTCTCTTCATTTTCTCCTCTTAAGCAATTTCTGTCTTTGCAGGTAATGGATGTGAAGAAGGGAAACTCCAGAGCTATAAATAAACTGATTGGATTGGTCAGGAAAGCAACACTAAACCGAGCAGATCCAGCCATGATCAAGGAAATCCTGGAGAAGCAGCTGTCAACGTGAGGTGTTTGGGGTCCCCATGCCCACGGGAGAAGAGTGTAGCCTGACTGGGAGCAGGAGCCTGTGAAAGCTGATGCCCGTGTGCCCCGAGAGCTGCATCTCTCAATCCCTGGCCTGAGCCACAGTGATGGCTTTGTGTGTCACCAGTGTTCTTGCCCTCTGGGCCCTGTGCCAGGAGGTGCCTCCACAGCTGACCAGCAGCCACACCCACCTGCTTCATCCACTTCAGGAGTGGCCCGTAATGGCTGCAGCGGTGGTGAAGGAGTAACACCTTCTTGTGTTAAGGAATCTTAAAGTAAAAACGTATGTTAGAGATACTGTTACCCATTCTAAGATAACTTCATTCTGCAGTTCCTTCAAATATTTTTGAGCAGTTCCTAAGGGCCAGCCATTGTTGTAGGTGATGGACATTAGCAGGGGTCGAGAGACTGTAATTTGGGTGTAGTGTTTTCAGACCTAAACACAGGTTAACGAAGATGAAAACACAACGAAATAAACTGGGCCAGTATAAACATACGTTTGTTCAGGGTGGTCTCAAGTGGGTGGGGAAGGAGGATTTGTTTTTGCCCAGGAAATAAAAGCATTTTATTTATTTATTTTTATTGCATTTTAGGTTTTGCGGTATGTGTGAAGAACATGCAAGATTGTTGCATAGGTACACACATGGCAGTGTGATTTGCAGCCTTCCTTCCCATCACCTGTATCTGGCATTTCTCTCCATGCTCTCTCCCCCCAACTCCCCACCCACCACTGTCCCTCCCCTATTTCCCACAGACAGACGCGGGTGTGTGATGTTCCCCTCCCTGTGTCCATGAGTTCTCATTGTTCAACACCCGCCTATGAGTGAGAACATGCGGTGTTTGATTTTCTGTTCTTGTGTCAGTTTGCTAAGAATGGTGGTTTCCAGGTTCATCCATGTCCCTACAAAGGACACGAACTCATCGTTTTTTATGGCTGCATACTATTCCGTGGTGTATATGTGCCACATTTTCCCTGTCCAGTCTATCATCAATGGGCATTTGGGTTGGTTCCAGCTTTGCTATTGTAAACAGTGCCACAATGAACATACATGTGCAGGTGTCTTATAATAGAATGATTTATAATCCTTTGGATATATACCCAGTAATGGGATTGCTGGGTCAAATGGAATTTCTATTTCTAGGTCCTTGAGGAATCGCCACACTGTCTTCCACAATGGTTGAACTAATTTACACTCCCACCAACAGTGTAAAAGTGTTCCTATTTCTCCACATCCTCTCCAGCATCTGTTGTCTCCAGATTTTTTAATGATCACCATTCTAACTGGCATGAGATGGTATCTCAGTGTGGTTTTGATTTGCATTTCTCTGATGACCAGTGATGACGAGCATTTTTTCATGTTTGGCCTCATGTATGCCTTCTTTTGTAAAGTGTCTGTTCATATTCTTTGCCCACTTTTGAATAGGCTTGTTTTTTTCTTATAAATCTGTTTTAGTTCTTTGTAGATTCTGGGTATCAGCCCTTTGTCAGATGGGTAGACTGCAAAAATTTTTTCTCATTCTGTTGGTTGCTGATTCACTCTAATGACTGTTTCTTTTGCTGTGCAGAAGCTGTGGAGTTTGATTAGGTCCCATTTGTCTATTTTGGCTTTTGTTGCCAATACTTTTGGTGTTTTGGTCATGAAGTCCTTGCCTATGCCTATGTCCTGAATGGTTTTGCCTAGATTTTCTTCTAGGGTTTTTATGGTGTTAGGTCTTATGTTTAAGTCTTTAATACATCTGGAGTTAATTTTAGTGTAAGGTGTCAGGAAGGGGTCCAGTTTCTCCTTTCTGCACATGGCTAGCCAGTTTTCCCAATACCACTTATTAAACAGGGAATCTTTTCCCCATTGCTTGTTTTTCTGAGGTTTGTCAAAGAGCAGATGGTTGTAGATGTGTGGTGTTGCCTCCAGGGCCTCTGTTCTGTTCCATTGGTCTGTATCTTTGTTTTGTTACCAGTATCATGCCGTTTTGATCACTGTTGCCTTGTAGTATAGTTTGAAGTCAGGTAGCATGATGCCTCCAGCTTTGTTCTTTTTGCTTAAAATTGACTTGGCTATGCAGGCTTTCTTTTGGTTCCATATGAAGTCTAAGGCAGTTTTTTCCAGTTCTGTGAGGAAGGTCATTGATAGCTTGATGGGGATAGCATTGAATCTGTAAATTACTTTGGGCAGTATGGCCATTTTCACGATATTGATTCTTCCTGACCATGAGCATGGAATGCTTCTCCATCTGTTTATGTCCTCTCTTATTTTGTTGAGCAGTGGTTTGTAGTTCTCCTTGAAGAAGTCCTTTACATTCTTTGTTAGTTGTATTCCTAAGTATTTTATTCTCTTTGTAGCAATTGTGAATGGCAGTTCGTTCTTGATTTGGCTCTAAGTCTGTTATTAGTATATAGGAATGCTTGTGATTTTTGCACATTGATTTTGTATCCTGAGACTTTGCTGAAGTTGCTTATCAGTTTCAGGAGATTTTGGGCTGAGACGATGGGGTCCTTCTAAATATACAATCATGTCATCTGCAAATAGAGACAATTTGACTTCCACGGAAGGAGGATATTATTTTAAGAAATAAACCTATCGTAGAAGTGATACTGCCTGTTCAACTCCCTACCCAGCCCAGAAGGCACAGGTCTGAGAATAAATGAATTAAAAATACATAGTAAGTGTTCAAATAAATTTATTCAGTAAAATATATGCTGAAATATCACAGAAAAATTAACTTACACTTCAAAGATTGTGCAGCTGACAACTCCCCACAACTCCCCCAACCCTCCGGCCAAACAGGATGAAAAGAAACAAAAAATAAAAAAGTTGTAACATGAAATTGACTTGTTTTGCTTGGAAATAAAATTACAAATTAGTAAATCAAAATCTTGACCTTTCACAATAATCCTGGTGTGCTGCAGGCATCTCGATGAGGGTGGGGCTGCCTGCACTCCTGTGTCGTGACACTAATACTGTTCTCCCTTGCACCAGAGCACCTCTTTGTTCAGTATATGCCTTTGTTAACCTCTGACTTGCCTCGCTTAAAGACCAGCTTTGTAAATTTGTTTTTTAAAAGCATACTTGTCAAAACTGTGATGTAAGAATAAAATCCTTGGAGGCCTTGATTTGAAGCTGTGAATCTGTAGCCTACCAAGGACAGTAAACACATTCCTGTTGTGAACGCTGCTCCAGAAGCAGCTGAGGAACTAGAAAAAGGTGAACACCCCCTCCATGACCAGTTCAGTGACTCATGCTTCCTGCCTTGCACAGTTGCTCAGGACTTCCCTGAGAGTGATGAGAATGGTGCCCCTTTTCCCCAGCCCAAAAAGTAGGCAGAGAAAGGTAACCAGTTGTATGGTTCATTTTGGACAGGCATGAGGAGGTGACTTTTTTTTAAATGTCTTTTAATAAAATTAGTGACTTAGAATTTTAAGGGACTGTGTTACCTTACCTGGGAAGACAGGTGTCCCCATTCTGCTGCAGTACTGAAAACTACTGGGTCTATAGTAACATGATTTTCACTAAACCTCTGTACCCGAGTGTCAGGCTGAATCAATTCTCTCCTCACTCTGCAAATCTCTGAATTACAAATGGGCAAAGATGGTCTGTGACTGGAGTCTGACAGGATCTTCATTTTGTAAGAAAGAATAAGGTTCAGGTTCGTTTTATAAATTCCATTTTCACCAAAAGTTCTGGCTTCTTGATGACTAAACCTTACAGAAAGCATCAAAGGATGTTTACAGAGGGGGTGCAGCCAGATAAAGACAGTTTACCAAAACCATTATGTCAAGTGAAAACTGTATTCAGGACTGATTATTCCCAGAGAAAGATGCCATCATGAAAGCACTTGCTCTGTCCAGGCTGATTGTCAATCAGCTGACAATTGCCTGTTGTTTTCAATGCCAGCTTCTGAAATCCTGAAAACCAAAACCTTGTAAGTTGATATCACTGCTACTAGGAAAAAAACAAGGCATGGTTCTGATTGAAACCCGATGAGATATTCCAAAGATAAGTTTATATTATCACTCTAAGACAGGCGTACCCAAGCTACGGCCCCCGCGGGCTGCATGCAGCCTCCTGAGGCCATTTATCCGGCCCCCTGCCGCACTTCAGGAAGGGGCACCTCTTTCATTGGTGGTCAGTGAGACGAGCAGAGTATGTGGCAGCCCTTCAACAGTCTGAGGGACAGTGAACTGGCCCCCTGTGTAAAAAGTTTGGGGACACCTGCCCTAAGAAATTCACAAAGATGGTTCTGCTTGTAAAGGGGTCTCAGTGAAATACAATTTTACACTCTTGCATGAGTGTGCATTTAGTCTGGTCTACTGGTTTACTCTTCAGGGGGAAATCTCATTAAAATGTATGAGTTGGCACCACAGGTGGCACCGTTGCCATCTGTCTCAGGAATCCACACACCTGTAGGCTAGGTGTATAATGCTGAGGCTCTGACTGGAAGTTGGAGTGTGCTGGAAAACTGGCTGTGCCCCAGGCTGGCTTGAACCAGCTCTGCCTGGTCAGGCCCAAACCCTGAGTTCTGTTGCCTGGGAAGGAGGTTGGCGGTTTCTGGTGGGAAGGCAGGAATATGCCAGCCCTAGCACTCAGCATGCTATCTAACAAAGGGAGTATTCAGTAAAGGCTCTTACCGTATGAAACAAATTAATGGACAACCTTTTGTGGGGCCCTTTTGTAAGAGACACTGGTGATACCAACTCCTAGGTTTCTACATTCTAGGTCATCTGGGGCTAGAAAAGAGCTGTTTAATCTCTGTCCAGGGCTATACATCAACGTGAACTTCCGTTCCTAGCTTTCAAGAACCTAGAACATTACTGTACCAAGGTAAGGATATTTTAGCTGAGCTCCCCCACCCCACCTATATTTTAGTAATTATTGCTAAAATAATTATTAAGATGGCCATGAAGTTTTGGAAAGTACACACCCTCCTTCAGCTTTGAGTTGGTTAGTTCAGGATACAGCTTGTGACCATGACCCACTATTTTATACTGTATCTTTCATTTCAATTGAATTTAGTTGTATAGTTTCTACATAGTGACTATTGGGAAAAGCCAGCCGATCTATCTGAAAGGCCGTATTCTTTACCAATTACCAAAAGCAGCATGGAAGTGGCTGCCATGCTTCTCCAGCAGGTTTTAGACAAACACATTCATGGATTGTTTGCAAACAGAGCTGACCCTTGGTTTTGAGATGGGAAGCATCTGATTGAAACTCTTAGTCAAATAGCTTAGCAAGACTCATGTAAGACTGTCAACACCAAATTCCCTCTTTTAAAATATCCACAGGGCAGAAAGGGGCCTTGTTATAGGT